GAACCGGCGCCTCCGAGGCCGCGGGCAGCTTCGCAACCCAGCGCTCAACCGCTGCGCCACCGGGGAGGCCCGAACTTCATTACTTTTAAATTTATGTACAAATGACAGAGATTGATAGAGATCAAAGAAACCAAGGCCCCCAAATTGGTATGACTGAACTAAATTTGGAAACCAGAACTAAAATTGGAAATTTTGAGACATACAGGTCCAGGGCTTGACGTGGCTCTGAGGGGCCCTTCGAGATGTCTCCTTGGTGGCGGCCATCACATGGGTGTCCAGGGCCCTGCACATGTCTATGCTCCTGTTTGGAACTGGAAGTCCCTGGAAAGTGACTTACGCTCATGTCAGTGACTCAGCAGGGAGTAACAAGTGTCTCATGAAATTCACAAAAAGCTGGGATGAGTCTGAGCAGTCCTAAAGTGAGTATCCGGGGTGGGGGGTGCAGTGGGGCAAAGGCTGCAGTCCCCGACAGGCACCTTGGGACGTCTGCTACCTGAGTTGCCCAGGAGGTCCCTCATGAGAGCAACTGATGTATTTGTTTCCTAATCAGTAAAGAGTAACAGGGAATTTTTCTGGTGTTCTGATCTTGGGGCCAGGATTTTCAATTTTGTAGCTGACCAGTGGGGTCATGTTGCAAGTGGCATGAGGAAGTGGACAAAACCACAGGATGTGGACAAAGAGAAACTGACTATAGCCACATTCCAGATGCTTGACCTCAGACCACTATTTCTTATCTCTTAACTGTTTCCTTGAAATTGGGAATCATTAAGACTTACCTCACGAGATCCAGGAACACTCTAGATGTTTTATAAATGATATGGCAGCAGGCACATGTTAGTTTGACATTCTTTATCTTATTGCACGGTATAATTTGTACTGCAATTACATGTTGGCATGTCAGCTGTCCACTAGATCATGCACTCCTAGGAGTCAGGAAATGTCTTTGCCACTTTGATACCTGCCCTATCCCCCCTAGAACCTTAGCAGCATGACTAGCTGAAGTAGGTGAAAATGAGAAGTTGTTCAATGGAAGGAAAAAATGAATGGGAAGAACCAGGCACAGTGCCGATAAGGATATTTATACCACAATTGCCTTTCTCTTCCCAAAACCTGCTTATCTTTCTGGGCCCAGCCCCAGTCTCCAGAAAGCCTTGCAGGGCTAGGTCTGCACGTGCACCCTGTATCGAGGGAGACAGGAGCGCTAAGGATCCCTGACCATCTATTCCAACCTCCTTGTTTTATGAATAACGACACTAGAGCCCAAAGAGAAGAAATTTCCATCAAACTAACACAGATCTTTTTCTCATAAGGGATCTTAGTTTCTTTGGGTGTATTTCATTGCTTCCCTCTCTTCACCCCTGGCCCCAGTCCTTCCCAGCTCCAGAATTGTACCCTCTGAAGATTGAACTAAGTCTTCCACATTTCATATTTTTCCCATGGCCACCTGCCTCAGTGCCGGTAAGTGACCCTGGGTCATATTCTCAGATTCTCAGTGAAGACAGAATTGAAGTCTCAAAATGGGCCAGTTGTGAGGGGAGGGGTTGCAGGAATCCTTAAATGATAATAGTAGACTGTTGCCATCTGCTGGTAATCATGTGGAACTACAGAGAAAAGTCTATCTTGCTGATGGGTAACTCATATGTGATCTTGCAGGTTTGCTTGCCTTACTCTCTTGCCATGCACAAACCACTCTGCCCCTCCCAGAGCAAAAGCAAAAACTTTGAAGGGCAAGAAAGTGATGCTGAAAATTACCTACAGTCACACACAAAAAAGAAAAGATTTGCACATCACCCTCCTTATAACAACCCAAAATACTGCAACTCTGAAGGCAACATAAATGCCCTTGACAAGCACCCTCAGGAGATGTGATCTTGACCACTCTGCCATCATCAATTCCCTCTGACCACTGAGTCAGTCATAAAGAAGACAGATGACACACAAGCACCAGATCAAACAGATTGTGAAGAAGCTCTTTGACATTGACAGGGCCAAGGTCAACAGCCTGATCAGATCTGATGGGGAGAAAGCACATGTTTGCCTGGAACCTGACTGCAATGCTTTGGATGTTGCCAACAAAACTGGGATCACATAAACCAGTGTACCTGGCTAACTCTAAATATAAATTTTTCTCTATTTAAAAAAAAAACCAATGAGATACCACTTTACATCTTACTGGATGAGTATCATCAAAAAGACAGACAAAAATATGTGTTGGCAAGGATATAGAGAAAATGGAATCCTTACATGTTGCTGATGAAATGTAAACTGTTGTAGCTGCTGTGAAAATAGTCTGGCAGTTTCTCAAAAAAAGTTAAACATAGGAGTTACCATATACCCAACAATTTATCCCTATATATAGACTCAAGAGAAATAAAAATATGTTTATACAAAAACTTGCACACCAAAGTACAACTTCATTCACAATAGCCAAAGAGTGGAAACAGCTCAAATATCTTTCAGCTATGAATGGATAAACCAAAGGTGGTCTATCCATGCAATGGAATGTTATTCTACCCTCAAAATGAGTGAAGTACTGGATACTTGCTACAACATAAATGGAACTTCACTACAATATGAATGAAACTTGAAAACATTAAACCAAGTGAAATAAGTCAGATGCAAAAAGTTCATATCGTACAGTTCTATTTATCTGAAAATAGAAATCCATAGACACAGAAGTAGATTATTGGTTATGCCAGGAAGGAGGGGAGAATAGGAGTGACTAGTAACAGAGATGGGTTTTCTTTTGGGGATGATGGAAATGTTCTGGAATTCATAGTGATTATGGCTGTACAGCCCTGTGAATGTACTAGAAATCACAGAATTGCACACTTTGAAATAGAAATTTTTATGGTGTATGAATTATAACCCAATGAAAAACAAAATTAAATTTATATTGTATTTAGGAACAGAAGGGACAGGATTTAGGGCCTAGCAATAGTGCCACACAAGAAATGAAGCATGAAAGCAATTCAACAGAGGGAGAATAATCTTTTCAATAAATGGTGCTGAAGCAATTATCCATGGGTAAATAAAGTGAACAAACCTAACTTAAATCTCACACCTCTAACAAAAAATACGCCATAGATTTAAACCTAACTAAAAAACTTTTAGGAGAAAACAAAGAAAAAATTCTTTGGGACCTTGTGTTTGCTGAAGAGTTCTTAGGGATGACACCAAAAGCAGGACCCATATAAAAAGAAAATCAATAAATTAGACTTAATTAAAGTGAAATCTTTTGTTCTGTGAAAGATTCTGCTAAGAAGGTGAGAAAACAAGTCTTAGATTGGCAAGAGACATTTACGAACCACATCTTTGATAAAGGACTCCTAGCTCATGAGAAAATATATTATTGAGCAAATGAGTATAATAAAGATTCCAGCAGAACTTCCAGCCCAGGTGCAATGAACATTCCAATGCAGGCATAATCAATAAGTTTGCTTACTTACAGCTCCTTGCCTTTCAAGATTCATGGCCAGGGCCTCAGCACTCTTATCTATAAGGTTGGGTAGCCCACCAAGCTGGTCTCTCTCTCCAAGGCCATCCCCGAATGCCTGCATTTTTTTCCCCCTTGCCTTATCCCCCCTTATCTGGGGACTTTGCCACAAGTGGTTGTGTCTGCTAAAAAATGATGTTATCAATGTAACAGATATGGACACAGTTGTGTATAAAAGGAACCCTTGGTCTTTAAATGGTTGCTCAGACCTTATGGGGCTACCCAGGTCTGGGATCTCATGCACGAGCAATAAATCTCCTGACCTCACCATTCCTGATGTACCGCTTGTTCTTCCTCTGCCTGGGAAAAAGGCTAGAATTTATTTCTATAACAAGCTAGCTAGCATTTATCTGAGAAAGGACTCATATCAAAACTCAACAATGAAAACAAGCTAATTAGAAAGTGGACAAAAACAGACATTTCACCAAAAAGGACACATGGATGGTAAATTAGGGGGATGGATTGAGGACCACCATAAGCTATCACTAGACACCTATGAGAGGAGCTCAGTCAGTGCTAGCGGGGGCAAGAGAAACTGGGTCTTTCTTCCTGTCACTGGAAACGGAAAGTGACACCGTGGCTCTGGGAAAGACATGACAGCGTGACTGAAACACACATTTACACACTGACCCAGCAACCTCAGAGAAACAAAAACTTCTATATCCACACAAAAACCTGTATGAACATGATTGTCCCTAGTAGTTTAATTTTTAATAGCTTCAAGCTGCAAACCTACAACAGGACAATGGCTAAATCCACCACGGAGGATCACATGGGATGATATCCTTCAGTGAAAAAAAGAATGAATCCTTGAGAGGGTGGATGTGTCTCAAGGGCATTATGCGAAGTTAAAATAAAACAATCTCAGAAGGCCTGTTTATATTATTCTTTGAAATGACGGTTATAAAGATAGAGGACAGATTAGTGGCTGCCAAGTATTCAGGATGATGGGGAGGAGAGGAGAGCCTGCCAAAGGGGTAATGCTGGGAGATCGCGGTTGGAAAGGGGGTTCCGAGGAGCTGGGGAAGTTCCTTGGGTTTACTCTTAGCTCCATGTGCTGGGGAAACTGAGTAAAGCATACACCCAAGCACTGCATTATTTTCACAATGTCCTGTGACTCTATAATGATTTTTAAAAACATCTTCAAGATCTATGGACAGAGGCATTCTGGGGGGTGGTGGGGAGCAGGTAGGTGATCTCCACATGTATGAATTAACACCTGAGGGGAACACACTGCCCCAAATGGAGGCACCTGATGTACTCAGCACCTGCAGGCTATGAGCTGTGGCCGAGGACTTAACTGTCCACATAACATGAACTTCCCCTCTAAATAACAGGAGGACATTTAATGGTCACTTTCCCAAAAATATATTAAAATTGTCTTTGTTTTTTGGCACAAACAAAATCATAAAGCAGAATTCAACGCCAGGTTGGTTCAGAGCTTGGAGATCTGCGGGGCGATCAGTTGCAAATATGACTTAGTTTCTTTGAAGAAAACGCAGGTTTTATTGATGAAGCATGATTATGAGCAAGTCAAATCTTTACAAAAAAATCTTTATTTAAAAAAATCCTGATAGAAAACACCCTCTCCCTCCCACCAGATCCATGAAGCTTTCTGTTGAACAAGTTCTCTGGGGACATGAGGGCAGCAGAGCCCCTTGCGGGGTGGGCAGGGCGGGGCCGTGTCCTCAGGCTGAAAATGCTACTGTCCCAGCTGCTGCCGAGCCTTCAGCAAAGAAATGTATTTTTGCACCCATTTTTCCTCTGGCTGTGCACAGACTTTCTGGCCTCTTTTGGTGGTGAATCTGTGGAAAAGAGACAATCAGTATAGTAGCCCCCCCACCACCACTGCTTAGCTGCAGTTTTGCTGTTTGTAGTTTCAGTTACCTGTGGTCAAATGAGAGAGCGCACGTGTGAGCACATTCATTATGGTTATGACTGCTCTGCTTCACTATTAGTTATTAATTTAGCCGTTCATTAGCTGTTAATCTCATACTGTGCCTAACTCATGAATTAAACCTCACCGAAGGTATAGTATATATGAAAAAACAGTAGAGTCATAGCTTTAGGCATCCACTGGGGTCTGCCAATGGATCCCCCATGGATAAGGGAATTACTGTACTGAGACCTTTTGCCTCCTGGAAAGGGACAGAAAGGGAGGGACAGTCCCCGACTTGTCCTTTCATCCTGCCACCACCATCCCCCACCCCCGCCACACAGTCCCTACTTCTCTTCTGGCCCTGTCCCCTGCTCATGACTACCTGCCCCCCACTGGAAACCACTCTCCCAGCTCCACCTCCAGGAGAAGACATTTTCCAGCTCGTGGGGATATAGTTTGCAGCAGGAACATACATCGCACCTGTTAATGCTTTTGTTTTAATAAGACAGATTTATTGAGATGTAATTTCCACACCAAAGAGCTCACCCATTTAGGGTGTGTGATTATCACTCAATGGGTGTTAGAATGTCCATGGATGATGCAACCACCTCTACTCTCAATTTCCAGACATTTCATCAGCCCCCAAAGGCCCACCATGCAGTTTGTCTTAACCCCACCATCCCCGGCTGTATAGTCCCCACTGTCCTCCCACCCCTGTGAGCTTGTTAAGGGTAGGGTCATGCCTGATGTCCTGAATCTGCTCCAGCCTCAGTCACCCTGAGAGTCCTCACAAGAAGAAGGTTCATGTCACAATTGTTAGTGGCAGAGGCAGGGTGGCAGCCAAGTGACCAGGTCCCCACTGAGGCTCATCCTGAATGAGAAATACTCACATCACAGCCTGCCGTGAGCAGCTGATCTTGGTGAATTCATAGGTTTGCACCCACTTCCAGGGAATGCTCCTGGGACTGAACTGGAAACAGCAGAACTTGGCTACCTCACTGCCACCTGAGAAACAGAGAGGAAGGCGAGTGGAGATGCCTCTGCTTCCATGGCCAGTCGCCCTGGAGGGAAGGGAGCAGAGCAGCTACTTACGTGTGGAGGCTCCAACGTGGACACTCAGGATGAGAGCCAGGAGAACAAGGAGGGCCACAGGGGAGCTCTTCATGGTGCTGCAAACCCTTCACAGCCTTCTCCCAAGCTCCTCCGGTCTGAACCAGACCCCCCTTTATAAGGCTGAGTGGTCCCTGAAGAGAATTCCAGAGAATTTTGTGGTAACAGTGAAAGAGTCACCTGATAACTACGGGGCTGGGAAGGGAGGTAAGGTCGGTGAGGGGGGGTAGAGGGCGGGATAGTTCACACACCAGTGGGAGTCTAGCCCAGAGCTATCATCTCAGTCAGCACTTTCTTGACTGAAAATCAAAAGCAGGAGAAATGAAATAATAGTTCCAGTGAAATGACCTAAGTAGTGAGCGGCTTCTAACATGATTATTGCAGATAGATTTCTGGCCCTGGACCAAAGCTTTCTCTGTTTTTCTGATAGTGGGACCTGGAACCTGGCCACAGAGCTGCCTGGGCACAGCAGTGGCCAGTGAGGGCATGTCCTGGGGGATGTTCCCATCCCACCTCCTTAGTGCCACATGGGTGTCTCATCTGGTTTAGAGGGTCTGAAACCTAACCCAGCGTCACAATGCCCTGGAGCTTTGAGGGAAAGGTTACAACATACCCTATCTCTGCTTTGCACAGCTGGTGAGGCTCTTGGGGAAGAAGACCCAGGAATCTATATTTTAATCAGATTTGGCTAAAACAGGGAAATCAGATTCTAGAATGGAGCAACGACTTCTGCCAGGAGAGTAACATAGGCAGGCTAGGTGGGGCTTTCAGGACTGTTTTCATGACTTGTGATCCCTCCTTCCCATCCTGATATGCATCTAGGCTTTAAAATTTTGTGTTTAAAGTTAAAAGCAAAGAGGTCATTAGTCATCTAGAATCACAAAATTTTTCAGGGCAAGCGAGGACCATAAATTTCATCTAAAACAAGACTTTTACCACCCATGCCCCCACCCCATCACCTAGACTGGTCTGGGTGCCATGAAACTCCCAACTGAACACTGCTCACCCTAAGACAGCGCAAATGGTACCCAAGTTCTTTCTAAAATTTGAGTGAATTCCCATTGCTTCTACCTCCTGACCCAGTTCTATATAAAAGTGTCTGATTTCTCTTCATTTGGAAGGTGAGATGTTTTCAGCAGATTTGAAGACCTTTGCTTTAGTCTGGGTTCCCCTAGAAGATATCCTGAGACCAGGATCCTGGTGCATGTAATTCACGAGAGGACAATTAGCGAAGACCCGGGTCAGGAGGGAAGCAGTGCAGGAAGGGAAGGCAGCAATAAGGGGTCGGAGTGATCATTGAGCAGACAAAGCTCATTTCCACTAGAGGCTTCTGGGAGTTGGTGCAGTTGACCTAATTGAGGGGTGAGAAAACAGGGGGAATTCCTTCTTCTCAACCCCCACTGCTTGTCCCTGGATCAGAGAAAAGGCCCCCAGGCAGAGTGTCCCCAGTTAGCAGACTTTGGCTCACAGAGTGAAGGATGAGGGGTGATAGGAGGGGTTCCAACGCTCCTGCACAAACATTGTCATACTTGCCCCCAAGTAGGCAACAGGCCAAACTCCCCTATGTCCCCAGTGTGCCCCACACCATCCTTCTGCTGACTCCCTGACATGCCAGTCTCTAATAAGCAGCTGAAGTCTGTTGGGAACCCACACATTTCATAAGTGGAACACAAAAACCACTAACCAGAAGGAGCTGATAAATAGTCGATAAATAGGATTTTATTTAAAATAGGAACTTTTATTCATTAGAAACAACAAGAGAGTGAAAAGATGATCTTCAAAGGGGGCGTATTTTGCACTGGGTTAATAGGGTCACCAGCCCTGATTCACGACAACCCAGAACTTCAGAATGTGACCTCACCTGGAAAATAGAATCTTTGCAGCTATAATTAATTAAATTAAGAGAAGGTCATATTGGATGAGGGAGGGTTCTGCAATATTGTGACAACAAATATGTATTTGTTTTCATCCTCTGATTTATAACCCATAACATCCTTGTAATCTCAGCAATAAAAATAATAAAAGCATCTTTTTTTCCATTTTTTAAATTTTAACATTTATCATTTTTTACATTTTTTTAAACCATAGTTTCTTCCCCCGACCCCCTCAGCTTGAGTCCCCATAGAATCACCTTCCCCAAGGCATCCAAGCACCATCACCACAGTCCCGTGTTCCTCCCTCCATCCCTCGCATCCCCTCTCCCTCCTCCTCCCCTGCAGTATGTCTCTGGTTTATACTTGTATAAAAGCATCTTTTGTTGTAATATTTCTTCTTTTGCCCTCAGTTTTTGAAATAACTCCAAAGCAATAATATTAAAAGGAGTAACTTCTTAGTCGCAGCAAACACCACCACCCCTCTTTTTTCTTTTTCTTTTTTCCTTTTATTTTCAGAGAGCAGCTCAGTGGTTTTTGGAGGTTGGCTGGTACAACACAGAGAACTCGGGGAGAGTAAGTGACACTTCACACCAGTGCCAGCCTCATCCCAGGCTGGCTGTGACCGAGGATATTACTAGTTTTTGTGTTACTCACTTTCTTTAACATAAATGAAAGTCATGAATGAACTTGAGGCATCTCTGCAGTACACACACACCTTCAGGCAAAACACTTTTCATAAGTAACATCACATTAGAAAACACTGGAAGCTGCGTCTCTGTGCTGATGTGTATTTTGACTTAACGGAACAGGAAGAGAGCAACATTCAGTTGGGGGGTAATACTGATAATAAAACTCTTCAAGTTACATGTTTGCATGTAGTACTTCTGTAAGGGGGAAAGGATGTCCTGAGCTAATCCCATACAGGCTTTGTGGACCCCACCCCCACTCCAGACCAAAGCCATCAGGACATTGGGAAAGACAAATCCCGTCACCACCAAAGGGAAGGTGCCTGGGACCTGAGGGTGGAGTTAAGCAGCCACGTTGGGTATAAAAAACCAAACACGTGGGCCTTGGTGGGGGCTCGCTGTCACTCGCCTCCTGGCTTCACGACTCCTGGCTCGCGGCCAGCTCTCAGAGCGCCATTTGGGATTCCAGATCGGCGGATTGGGTAGGACTCATTTAAAACTTTGTCTCCCACTTTTCTCCCTGAGCTGTACATTTCCTCATTTGCCCTTCCCTTGTCAATAAACCTTTTATTAACCTTTCGCGTGTGCCTGCAGTGGAGTATTGATAAGTCCTTTTAAGCGTGGGTGAGGACCCACAGTCAGGCAACCCTTTTTGTATCGGGGCTGCCCTTTAACACTTCCTATATGTCACGCCCCTTCCAAGCACACCTGAGTCTATGCTGGTGAGATGATGTTTGGAAAGCCCCTGGGTAACCAGATGGTGGGACTGGCAGTGGGGAAATCACCTTGTATCAGAGGCCTCACCCCAGTCTCTGCCGAGGGGAGAAGGACTGGAGGTCTAATTCATCTCCAATGGCCACTGGTTGAATCTATCGTGCCTCTGGAGTGGAACCTCCCTCAGGTCCCTAAAGCACAAGATTTGGAGAGTCTCTGGGTTGGTGAACATGGGGACATGCCAGGGGTGTGGGTGGCGTCTCAGAGAGAGCCTGGGAGCTCTGTGCCCCTTCCCAAGCCTTGCCCCAGCTCTTCCGTAGGGCAGCTTCCTTTTGTCATGAATCAGTAATCTAATAAATAAATCTAGTTTTATTTATGAGTTCTGTGAGCTACTCTAATCGCAAGGAGGGGTCATGGCAACCTCTGGTCTACAGCCAGTCAGTCAGAGCACAGATAACGACCTGGACTTGTACTTGGCAGCTGAAGCGAAGCCACGGGCAGCCATAGGGGGCTGAGCCCCCCTCCCGTGGGGTCTGACACTACTGCCCCCGGATATCTGGGCCAAACTGAGTTAAGTTGTTGGGTACTCAGCTGATATTTGGAGGATTGCTTATCTGAGGAAAACCCTCCCATATCTGGTATCAGAAGCGAAATACTGAGATAGGGTGTTGTCGTAAGTAGAGATAAACAGAAGAGCTTTTTTTCCCTCATTTAGCTCTAAACCCAGTGACTGGTGTCGTTATAAGAAGGTCGTGTGAAGAGACAGAGATGGGGGTGGGGGGTGTGGTGGGGGGAGAAGGCCATGTGAGGGTGGGGGCAGAGATGGGGGGGGGGGCTGCCAGCCCAGGACTGCCAAGTTGAGCTGGCAGCCACCAGACAGGAAAAAGAAGGAATCTTCCCTAGAGTATAGAGGGAGCCTGGTCCTTCCCATACCTTGACTTTGGACTTCTAGCCCTCAGACCTAGACAGAATGAATTTCTGTCGCTCACGTTCATCTGCTACAGAAATAGAAACGAATATACTATGTATCTGAAAATTGGCTAGACTTCCCACGCTGTAAAGAGCTCTGTAAATCAAGAAGAAACAGGCAATGGAAAAATGACGAAAACGTAATGACTTTATGAAAGAGTAATGATGAATGATGACTAGTAAGTGAAAGGGACTTGATTCTCTTCGTCATCAGAGAAACCCAAACCTAAACTACAATGTGCTCCAAGCCCACCAGAATGACTAGGGTGAGGGGGATGGCAGGCACCAGGCCACAGTGAGGATCTGGTACACTGGAGACGGGGCCGGCGGGGGTGGAAACTCTGGAAGGTATTTACGGGAGCAGAATGGGTGCTCCATAACCCAGCAACCCCTCCCGCTATAGCCACCAAGTGTGTGACCTGTGTTCACCCAAAGGAACTATAGGTAATAGCCCCAAACCAGAAACTTCCCCAAATATCCATCAACAGTGAACCTGGAAATAGTTGTGGCTGATTAACATCATACACCACCACACAACAAGGAGCATAAACTGTAATTCCATGTGACTCTGTGACTGTATCTCATGATCCAAAGTTGAGGGAACCAAGTCAGATATGAAAGAGGACTGTCCTCGTTGTCCATGTGCAAAGCAGGGATGTGAGTCAAAACTGTGCCTGCCCTTCCGGACAAGGACTGGAAGAGAGGCCGAGGGGGGCTTTGTGTGGGGGGGAGGTGCTGATCCTTGAATGGGTGTTAGAGCCCCCTTATCCTTGTGAAAATTCACTGAACTGTATTCTTAGGGTTTGTGTGCTTTATTATTTGAGTGTATATATTTTTTAAAAGATTTATTTATTTATGCATACTAGAGCTGGTGTACAGGCCAGATGCGGGGGGTGAGAGGATTCACCGGAGACAGAGTGGGGAG